CCTTGATGTGTATTATTTATTTTCACGTCGTATAAACTAAACTACGCACACCTCTATATATAAGCAATATATATACTGAATATATTTTTAAAGCTTTTTAAATTCAGCATTACATTTTTGAGATTTATCCCAGCTGATACATATAGCTATAGTTACTTCATTTGAACTACTTTATATCTACTTACCTAATTTTTTACTAATAGATATTTAGATTATTTCTATTTTCTTACTATGACAAAACAAATAAACACCTGCAAGGAACTTTCTTATACTTTTTCAACCCCTGTACCTCTGGTAGCATTTCTTTAGAGTAGTCAAGTCTTTGTTCCTGAAAGACATGTACCATAGGGTATGGACCTTATTCAGTTTTTAGGACATTGTCAAAAAGTTGCTCAAATGACTGAATTTACATTCATGCTGGCAATGTTTAAAGTTCCCATTTATCCACATCAATACCAAGAATTGGAATTATCAGACTGTTTTGTTTTTTTAATAAATTATTGAATATGAAATGTTATCTCCTTTTTCTTCTGTTTTGTTCTATCTTGTTTACTAGTGAGAGTGAGTGTATTTCCATGGTTTTAAGAAATTTAATGTTCACCTTAATGTGAATTACTTCTTTACAACCTTTTTTCATTCTTTTCACGTGTATACATGAACTCAATTTTGTTTCATTCATTTTTTCTCTTAAATCAGTATTGATACAATACTGTTTTGCTTAAGAAAGATTTAGAGGTTTTTTTTTGATTAGTATTAATATAAGTGCATTAAGTTTCATTTGATTACTTGTCTACTGTATCATTTCTATCACTTTAAATTCAATATTGGTGGCTCTTTTGAATAAATTGTTTTAATCTGTACTCGTTACGATTACTAAGATATTTAAAGTTTTTTCTTCTATTTTATACAGTTGTTTCTATTTACTGTGCTTTCTTTAGTTTTCTTATTATCTGCCATTTTTAGAATTGCCAAATTTTTCTTACACTTTAATCCTTATATTATTTTGGAAGTTATAAATGTGTCTATTATTTCTGTATTTGCCCTAAAATTTTTCATATGCATTCCTAACTTAATAAAGCCTAAAGTTAATCAATACCAGATACTGATTCCTTACACAACAAAAATGCTTTAACTCTGTTCTCCAGACATGTTATTTTTTCTTGTATTTTAGTTTTACATTTTTCTAACCCTCTTTCAAATTAGTCATTAGTGTATTATTGTTTTCTAATCAATGTATATGTGGATTTACTTATTTAACGCTTTCTTCACCCACCTATGTATATTTGGATTTACTTATTTAACGATTTCTTCACCCACCTATGTTTCTTCCAATTTTTTACATTTTTCAGAATTGTCATTTATCAGTGCTTTCAACTAGCTATAAGACATATACTCTTTTGTCTTTATTGTCTGGAAATGTCTATTTCACTCTCACTTTTACAGAAGAGTTAAACTATATTATAATTCCAATTACTTTTTTTCAGCATGAAACACATTTTTTTAATTTTCGTCAGGCTTCTATTGTTGTGTTTAAGTCTCCTGTGAGCCTAATTTTTGTTACTGTATAAATATTTGTGATTCCTTTTCTTATTTTTGTAAAAGTTTTATCATTACTTTCAGTGATGATAAAATTATTTTTATATTTTCACTGTGGTATGTCTGAGTGCTGGTTTGCTTATATTTTCCTGTTTGAAGCTCTGTTATTTTTAAAATTAGATTATGGTTCAGTTTTGAAAAATACCAGTTCATACTCTCTTTGAATATTGTTCCTCTTGCTTCTGGAACTCTTCTTAAAAATATGTGGTACTTATCACAACATAACAAGGACTGTCACAGCCTAGCTGCTACCTAATTCTCCAAAGTCATCTCTCGCCATGCCCTTCAACCAAGGAGTCTTCTTCAAAAGCACCTTTAACGGGCTCTTTCCTGAGTGAACTGTTAAAATCACTCCTCTTCTATGAGTTAACTGCAACTCATCCCTCAGGAATGCTTCATTGACTTTTCTGATGGGGTCTTTTTATTCTCTTCTTATAATACTTTGTATTTCTCATTAAGAGCACTTGGGCCAGTTGTACTTTTACAGTTATTTGCTTGAGTACCTGATTAACATCAGGCTCTTTGACTAGATTCCCTGCTCCATGAAGGTAGTACTTTTTTTTTTTTTTTCCCTTATTCTATTGGTATTTCGTAGGCACTGAGGAAATAACAATGTAGAGACTAAAACCATCCAGGAATTATCAAACCATCAGGGACCCAGACAGTACTTATTCATCTCTGAACACCAGCTTTAGTTCCATCATAGTACACTAGCTTTCTCTACTTTATTGCAGATATTTAATATGATAGGAGGCTTAGGGTAGATAATATCTCTAGGTTAAATAGTACACAGCACTCATGAGCCAAGACTGCCCCTCTATCTCTCATATTCTTTAAATGTCCACTCACTTTAATTTTTATGATACCTGACTTAGAGCTGGAGAATGTGCCACCAGCTCTGTGGATCGTTTATAGCTAAATTCTTCTTTTTTCTATTTATTCTAGAATAACGGAGCGAGTATGACTTTTTAAAGTAACAGCACCTTCAATTCAAAAAGGACAGAAAATGCTTTTGCTCATGCTTGAATTAAAGGAATAACCCTCAATACATTTACTTAACAAATATTTGTTGAGCCTCTATTGAGTGCCACTCACTACTTTAGGCCTTTAGGATATAATAGTAAAAACAAACAAGGTTCCTGATCCCAGAGATTTGAGTCTAGGGAGGAAACATTATTCCAATGCTCACACTAGTACTGCACATACAATTAAAAAATATGTGAATGCTCTGAATGAAAGAAATATGATGATCACTTGTGATATTTAACAAATTAACTTGACCTATAAGGGGAGTTGCAGTAGTATGGGGAAGGTTTCCTTCATAAGTGACAACTGAGCTAAGATTCTGAAGATGAGTTGGAGTCAATGAGGTCAGAGTATTTAAAGAGGAAAAATTAGCATGTGCAAATGTCATATGGCAGGAAACAGATTCACAGTTATGAGGATCTAAAAGAAGACCTGGAAGGTTTGAGAACAGAGAGGAGAGGGACACTGATTAGAGTTGAGGATATAGAGTTATTTAGGAGTGAAAGACAGTGATGTGCTGGCTTATATGGGCTAAAAAAGGGCCAACTGTTATATTTTTAGAAATTTTGTGAGTCAACCGTGAAATAACCATTATTAAAAACAAAAGTATGTATATAAACTTATGTTAAATAAATTACATAAAAATAAAGGTTTTCTAGTTACTCCCAGGCATTCATAATTATTTTTCTACATTTTACTATTATTTGTGCCCCTGACTTTCTATATGTCTATTCTATAGGTATGTTTCTATGTTTATAATGATCTGCTACTACACATTTCTTCCTAACCTCACTTTCTGTGATGTTGAATTTACTAACTTGAAGTTTCCACTGTGAGAACTGGTAAACGTTTCCAATCAAGATTCCCTTACACCCCTAAGAACAAGTTGTTAAACACTTACTAGCACAACACTTGGAGACCATGTTAAGAATTGATCTTTATCACAGGAGAAATGAACAGGCATTGAAAGGTTCTAAGCAGGATGCTGACAAGAGCACATTTATTTCTATTTTAAAAAGATCACTGAGACTACAGAAATTAAAGGTGAAGCCAGGTGACTCTGGATAGCCCATATTTTAAATAATGGTGGCTCAGACTAGAATCAAAGAAAATAGAAATATATGGATTTAAGATATATTTAGGAGTTAAAATAGAAAGCTGAGTTCTGGTTGCATTAGCATGAACCAGTCACTTAAGACCTTCATGAGAAAGAAGTGAAATCTCTATATCCTCCCTAATTTCTAGTTGGTTATGATGTTTTCATTTTGAGCCCAGTTCCATCACAATGTGTCAAGGAGGTAGCTTTACAGTTGAACAAACTTAGGTCTGGGTAAGAGAGGATAGAAAAATGCACAAATGGAAGCACCTGAAATGAAGGGACTATCTTCATACAAAAATAATTTTTAATGTAAACAACTTTTCCATCCTTGTATGCATAATAGCACACGTATGGCAGCCATGAAAATGACCTCCAAGATCTCTAGAGGACTGCGAGGCATGTAAATGACTGAGAGTCCAGCTGCTGTGCTCTGAAATCCAGCAACTGAATCAAAGTCCTTCCCACAAGCTGTTCCCAGACTGTGACTAAACAGAACAGAGACTCTAAGGCAAGCCTGTTATGCGAGATGCCACGGGCAGCTTTAACTCCATGACTGTCCAATGGCCTTGCCAGACTCTCCTTAAAACTGCATTGCCTGACATGCTGCCACCCAATTTTCCTGTCTTCAGAACTGGTCACCTTTACTCGGGTCACCTTTACCTGCATCATGGTGTGATGGCTCTGCCAGCCTTATTAACTGTCCTGCTTCTGCCTTGCATCTGCTGCAGGTCTTGAGTGGTGGTTGTGACTTGATGGAGGCTGCCTCTTTTCCCCGTGATTTTCTGAAGTTGAAACATTTGCTGTATCCTCAGAGGGCTTGAAACTCTTTGCAGTTCAGTTCACTTAGTTACCTTGTGATCTTTGTTCTCTTATGGTCTCAAGAAAAGTTATGATTTTATAGATTATATGGTTTTTCCTCATTTTTAGCATAAGATCAATGTTTGTAGCTTTCTACATGCTAAGCAAAGTCCCCTCCTCTTGTTTTTAAAAGTAAATTATGTTTCTGAATCGGGATTTTATCTTCCAGAGTTAGGAATAGAACATATACATAAATAGCGTGTTGTATTCTAGGCATGTGAAATCACTGTGTTATCAAGCATTTGGCACTCTTATGGTAGCTACTCTGTAAATGTATTGAATGAAAACATTAAGCAGCAGTGGAAAACACAGTTCAGCATTAGTCAAGGCTCCCATGGCAGATTACAGCCAGACAGGAATTGTTTCTAGTTTATTTTGCTTCTGTTGTTCTTCAACACAATTACCTTGTCCTTTCCACCAGGTGGTTGACCAGATTGATACCCTGACCTCTGACCTACAGCTGGAGGATGAGATGACCGACAGCTCCAAAACGGACACTCTGAATAGTAGCTCAAGCGGCACAACAGCCTCTAGCATAGAGAAGATCAAAGTGCAGGCCAACGCACCTCTCATTAAGCCCCCAGCACACCCATCTGCTATCCTCACGGTCCTGAGAAAGCCAAACCCTCCACCACCGCCTCCACGGTTGACACCTGTGAAGTGTGAAGACCCTCAAAGGGTGGCGCCCACTGTCAATCCTGTAAAGACCAATGGCACCCTTTTACGAAATGGAGGCTTACCACGCGCACCGAACAAAATTCCAAATGGAGACATCTGCTGCATACCCAGTAGTAACGCGGACAAGGCTCCGGGGCAGCCTCTGATGCACAGACCTGACAAAGACAGGTGTCCCCAGACAGGGCCTCGGGAACGTGTTCGGTTTAATGAAAAAGTGCAGTACCATGGCTATTGTCCTGACTGTGACACCAGGTATAACATAAAAAACCGTGAGATCCATTTACACAGCGAACCCGTCCACCCGCCGGGAAAGCTTCCGTACCGAGGCTCTCCCCTCCCTCCTCCATCCCACCTCCCTCCGTTTCCACTCGAAAATGGAGAACTGGGAATAAGCCACAGTAACAGCTTCCCCCCGCTCAGACCTGCAACTGTGCCTCCTCCCACTGCACCAAAACCACAGAAGACGATCTTGAGGAAATCAACCACTACAACAGTGTGATGTATGCCATTTAAAAACACTTTTTTGTTTTATTTTGATTTTTATATTATAAACATAAAATAATAAGTAATGAGCACTTTCTACTCAAGCAATAAAAAGCCCAAATATATTAACCCTGCATTCAGCAAAGTGGCATAAAAATCACCTGGTAAGTATATCGTACATTGTTTATATCCTGGATATAGATTATTTAAAAAGTTGTATCATCGAAAAACTGAATGATGAAAAGGCTGAATATATATTTTTTTTCAGTTGACTATGACAAACAGTGACCTGAAGATTTCAAATAGTTCGTTTTACTATAAGAAGATGGGGTTTGATTCATTTTTTTCCTGCCTAACCTCTCTCTGTATTAATAACGTCTTATGTTTAACTTTGAACTAATACTTTTTAATAAGAAATTTTATTCTGAAAGACTATTTTATTATTTTTTCTAAAGATGTTTGCTACTAGTTTTGCATTATTGAATGCTGAGGACAATACCAAAAAGTTTATTTTCTATACCATGCAAACATGATTATATGTTCAACTATATTGGTCATGAAAGATTTTGGTTGGTGGAAATATACGTCAATAAACAATAGTAGATAATGGCAAAACACAATGTTCTTCAGAATTAAAATGAAGTAGTGGTGCATTTAATTCGATTTTAGTATTCATTCAGGTGGGTAGTAACACTGACAGAGTTTGGAGAGGATCACAGTGAATATATGTCAGAATTTTCTAAGTTAAATATAATAATCAGGTCATAAATAGAACTTCACATGTTTTCATGTTATATATTTTGGTCCCTCAAGGACCATCTGTTGAATGCCTCCTACACTGGCAACCCTTGTAGACCCTCCCCCACACTTAGCATTCCTCCAGGACACACTGAAACAGTGGCATGATTTGCCTCTAGCCTCAGCAGACTCTCTGTCTTCCTTAGGGAACCCCATTTACAGGAGAATCCCAGGGGAAGGTAAAAGATGCTTCTGGAACAGGATGTTTTTAGCATTAGCCTTAAGCTGATTCCCCTAAGAGTTGAAATATGCCAGGGGTCTTTGTTATTCTATAGAAAGAAGAGAAGAAATCTTTTCCTTCTAACATCCAGTAAAGATCTTTCTTTTCAGTCTAATTTGCCACTTACCCACCCATGGACCGAGTTTACTTCCCAATTACCATGATTTGGACTGATTAGATGTTTTGCCCTGGAACTAGAAATGAGCTTATCTCTCCTAAAATCATGATGAAAGGTACAGGCCTGACCAAAATATGTAGATTAAGTGACAAGAGTTGGGGAAATCATCTTTGTTGAAATTTGTTTATTGCAATCTTAATTAAGAGTACTGTAATCTTTTGACTATGTGGCTTTTGATCTTTAAACTTTAATTTTTGTTGCTACAAGGGGGGTAGTCTTTAGCCATATTTCTTTGTTGCCTTTTTCAAGCTATATAATGGTAATTTGGAATTTTATTTTTAAATAACTTCCTGTTAAAAGATGATCTTTTAGGCACCATGACAGAAAAATAATAGGCTTTATTTTTTAAAGGAACAATCAAAAGAGTAAAAATAATAGAGGATGTCATGGTAAAAATTTACTCAGCATGATTTTTGTTCTGTGTGTGTTGGACATGAAAATAAAGCAAATAGAATAAATTGAATTTTTCAGAAAGTGACAAAACATAAAACCAATAATCAAGAAAGACCATAATTAAAATTTATTAATTGTGTGATCAGTATGTTTAGTAAATATGAGTTAAGTAAACAAATAATTGATTATTGAATACCAAAATAATATATTCTTAACTTTTTAATTAATCCATTTAGCTCAATATATAAACCCGGGGTTTCATTATCTTTCTAGATTTAAATAATTACTTCTTTTCAAATGTTTATCCAATGTTAGACCTTTGGATGTTATAAATCGTCTTAGAAGACATGCAGTTTTATCTCTTAGGTCCATCTTCCTTCCTCAGCCAGTTACTGTGACCTAATAATTACCTTATAGTTTCAGACATTGAATCCACTGATATCTGGGAGCCAACCTGGATCTCAACATAAAGCTTCTTAGCTACAACAAATCATCCACAGAGTAGACAACTTATTTGCAATAAAGCAGTTGAATAAGTTAAATAATTCAAGCTGGTTGAATAAGGACATTGAGCCAGATGCCTCAACACAGCTTCCGAGGTTCAAATCCAACTCTGCCTCAAAGTATAGACAAACTACCCCACGAAAGACCATCTTTTAAAGTTTGATTTCTAACATATGTCCAAAACTACAATACCTGTTTTTATTTAACACATTTATAAGTAACTGCTGGCCTAGAAAACTGAGTTATTCCCAACCTAAAAAAGTTATAGTTATTGGCCTCTTACACAGTTTATCTATTATGTAATCGACATTAAATGTTAGATTATAGCAGTGTTAGGACTTTTAAGTTTATTTGCTCCATATGTTACCTTTTTTTTTTCATTAATGTATGGAATTTATTGGGCTATAGTTTTTTGTTTTTTTTTTTCCTAACTGATAATTTAGCAACATTCACTGGCACTTAATTATATCTTTAAAATACATATAAATTTGTAAAACATGAAAAGCAGTTAACATAGAGCATCATAATATGCATCTGGAATCTTGTAATTAAAGTTTTATAAGTGGCAGTGTAGTTTTTGTAATCAGCCAACGTTGCTTTCAAAATTTAAATTCTGAAGTGCAAGCTCTGCATATCATCCATTAAATTATCATAAAACATGGTATATATTTCCTCTTCCTGAAGATGCCAAAGTAGGAATGCTTTCTTCAAATCATTAAGGTAGTTTTTCTTCCACGATATGTACCTGAACACTCTTATTCACACAGAGTAGTGTATACAGAGCTAGCCTCTACACTCCTTTGAGGTGATGTTTCTATAAAATGCAAAATAGTAATACTGCTTATGAAAATATCCATTTTTAATGTAAGATAGAATATATATATTTTAAAATGTATCCATTCATTAAATTTTAGGAAAGGAAAGGTTTTTGTCATGCTAATTTAAACAAAGATTGTCCATTTTTGTAATGAGAAGGTTATTGTATCCCTACTGATAAAAGACTAAAAGAAAATAAAAATTGAGCAAAATTCTATCTCCCAGTAGATATAGTCATTCTAAAAGCAAATAAAACTGATATTTTTAGGTCATGGTTAAGCTAAATATAAAATATCTTCTGGAAAATACAGAGCATACGAAAATTTCCCACTCTTCCCATTTGATATTATTATATTTATACCATCCCTCATTAGTTTAATATATTCTAGAAAAAAAAAGTGAGTTGGCTATTAACTGAAGTGGTTTCATTAACCTAAAAAAAAACTTGTGTTTGAGTTATATCTACATCTAATTACTTAATGAATAAAGGAATAAGGCACTATATTATACAGATTTTTTCAGACAGATCAGTAGTTGAGTTGCTTTTAACATAACCTAGAGCAGCACCTACACATAGCCTTTGAGACTATGCAAGACCTTTTATCTACAGGCTCTAATTATAGCTCTTTTTGGATGCTCCCTGAAGAAAAGCCTGAGTAATTTCACATGTAATTGCACTGGGACTGGTGTAATCAAGTCATGAATCACTGCCGTGACTAAATCCATGGAATATTTGATAACACAATGTCAAGTGTTGTAATTGTCCTGCTTCAGTTTCTTTCTCCCAATTCACTGTTAGTAGCACATTTTGCTATAATGTGCAATCAAATTTGTAGCAAGAGATTGCATTGTAATGTACGTCAGTGCATACCAATGATTTCTAAGGAAGTGATTTATGAGCAATAAAAATCCATATCACATAATTAGGTAAAGTGCACAGACTCCGATGATTAACAGACACTATCAGAAAATCACATGATGTTTTCTGGGTCAGTTTGACACTGTATTAACATTTTTAGGCTAAACATTTTGGAGTTCTAGAATTGTTCAAGTTGCCTGATTCTAAAATAATGACAGATGTGATGCTACCATTAGGGCGCACAGCAGTGTTGAACATAAAACTGCAGTTAGCCACATCTTAGTGGAGCTGCAATTATGCAGGGTGCCATTTCATTGGAAGCACTAGGATTTATCATTATGTTCTTTTTTGAAAAACTAAAGTGTAACATAAAGAAGCTTTGCAAATAAACCTCTCTAAAATGTAGTTAAATCAATATAGGGTATAGAATTGTGCAAAGGCCAAATAAGGAGGAAATATTGCTTATAATTTATGACTTCTAGACTGACCAAAGAGAGGCTAATATTATTAACTGTTTTATGAAATTACATAAGTTTCTTAGAATTTCTTTACATAGAGAGTTTCTCTAAGTCTCATATAAATGTGTAAAATAGTTTTTAATATCCTGATTTACAAGTGAAGAAATCCAGGATCTCAGTTTCAGTATTTTACCAAAATCAACCCTTTAGTAAGTGACTGGGTTGGCATTTGAGTGCCAGTATGACTCCTCATAATATTTCTCCACTACATCACCATGTAATTGTGTTCTTCATAGCCCTGAACTTTGCAAATTTTTTCTTTATTCTTAGCAGTTATTTTGACTTTTGAAAAGGGTTACCTAATGTTGTTTTGACATTCTTAATATGTTTGATCTTTGCAGAATATGAAAGTGATTTTAGGCAATTTAGTTACCGTCTATAATGAATGAGCTGCTGAATAATGCAAGCCTCGTTTTCCTGTGTATTATACTAGGGGCTTCGCCGTTCAGGTTTTTTTCTATAAGTTCAAAGGCTGTCTGTTATTTTAGTATAAATTTCATAGTATTAATGCCATTTGACCCTGAATGTGTCACTTCCATTATTGGCATTACATTTGTGAATTTCATCTATTTAACATTGACCCCTACAGCTAAAAAAAGCAATAGATCAACTCTGTTGAACCACTAAAACACCAGTGCATTAGAGCCTCTAATAAAAGCATTTCCATCCTTTTGTTGTTAGACTGTAGGAATGATTTTCCACACTTTGATAATGTAGTTGTAATTCTCCTAATCACCAAAGGGAATTTTGGACCAGTTAAATAAAACAATGTGTGCCCTCAAGTGGGTTAGAGTTGGTGACAAGACATGCTATCTAACCCTTATTAAAGGCTTACTTATGCCAAACACTCTTCTACATGTTTTATGCGTTATTTTTTTCTCATACCATTCTTTTTCCCTCATAACAACCCAATGTCTTAGACACTATTATTATCCCCGTTATATGACTTTCTGCCCAAGGTCATAGAGGCACGAAGTGGACAAGCGAGAATTATAATACAGGTAAGTAGGCAGGCAGGCAGGTAGGCAGCTTCCACAGCCCAAGTTCTTCTCTGCCTTTCAGAAATGCCTAAAGCTCAGCACCTGCATGGTGTATGGGCCATCTTAGAGCTGAAAGTCGTTTCACTGAAACTTGCCTGAAGAAGTTATTGGAAGATATAAAATGGGAGAAAAAAAAGTATATTTCTGTTTAAGTCAAGATAGGCTGGACTATGCTGCAGTAGCAAACAACTCCGCTATCTCAGAGGCATCCAAGTTAGTCCTTGCTCCCTCCAATTTCGCCCTGAGGCCAGGACACTGTGCAGGGCAGGAGTCTCTCAGACAGTCATTCA